AGTTTATACATAGACTCAGCATCTTTCCTTCTATCTTTCTTTGACTCTATCTATCATATACACGATATATACAACTCATGGAATAAGACATACAATCAGTTAATACATGAAAACAGTTGAACTAAATACGAAAATTAACAAACCAAGAACAAAATACCATGAATACAAAACCTACACTGATATTTTTCTAAATCTAAAAGAAAATATAATACATGTTTATAAATTACATTTCAAGTCTTTCTATTTGAAACATCATGAAAAATAGCTAAATAAATGTTTTATTTGATTGCTGACAAATACAGTCTATGCAAGCACATTATAACTGAGATAGCAGATAGTTGGTAGTTCTCAGTCTTGGTGCTAAAACCCCACTTCCTCTCAAACATCTTGAATTCATTATAAACAAACAAACAAAAAAAGGAAGTGCATGCAAAAGATGAAAATATATTTTAAGTGTTGTTTTCCAAATATCTCCCCTAGGTAAATCCTAATGATAATAATGCTCTTTAAAAGAAAAATGATTAATATATGTACATTCACATATTTGAGAGCAAGGAGAGGAGAGGATGAAATGAGGAGACATTTTCAAGCAACAAATTTAACTCCTGTTATCTTAATGTAAAAATGCAGAGAGCTCCCACCCTAATGCCAACAAAGTCTGGTCCTGCTTAGCTCCTGAAATTAGGCAAGACTGAGTGCATTTAGAGCAAAACCATGATTAGCATGAGTAGTGGAGTGGAGAAGAAAGATCTGAGAGAAGTCAGAGGTGGGGAAAGAATATGAACCATTCATTGCATGAAAACATTTCCAACTTCTGCTAGTAAAATAGATGTAGCTAATCCAAAGAAATCTTTCTTCTGCAGACAACTAAGAAATCTGTAGAAAGTGAAAACATCAGATTGAGAGCACAGGACTGTTAACAAAGCTGTTGAGAGCAACAAGGCTGAAAGCATAGGATGATCATTTCTGAATCAAAGCTCATTTCTCTTTAAGGCTGTTTGCTGGTTGTGCCAGTCTTGTTTCTGTTCCTGGGACAATTAACTGACCAAAACAACTAAGGGAGCAAAGGGTCTACTTTAGCTTACAGTTTATAGTCCATCATCTATCAACTGCAGGACAAGAGCTAAAGGCAGGAACCTGGAGGCAAGAACAGATGCAAAATTCATGGAAGAATGCTGTTTCTATTGCTTAATGACTTGCTCACTACTTCTGTTCAACCTTATAGAGCCTCTGTGGGCAGGGCCCTCCGCCAGCAATTAGAAAGCATGAAAATGCCTCATAGACATGTCCACAGGCCAGTATGATAGAGGCCATTTCTCAATAGCGGATCCCTCATTCAAGGAGTATCAGGTTGACAACCAAGAAGAGTTACTGCAGCATTGTCCAAGGAAGTGTCAAAAAAGGACAGCAACACGGGAAGCACTGAGAGAGAGGGGCAACAAAGCCTCAGGATGCCAAATTCTACGATGGACTACATCCATGTAAAAACACAGAACAATTAATGACTATAAAGCACTGGGTATAGTGGTTTATACTCAATCCAACACTCAGGATGCAGAGGCAGAATGATTTCAAGTTTGAGACCAGCTTTGGCTTCAAGCTGCAGGCCAGTCTGAATTACAGTTAAGACCCTGTTTCAAAAAACAAACCCCGTAAAGCCCTAAGTGACAACAAAAACCCTGACTAATTCAACAATGATGCACCAATGCTACTAGCAATCCAATAGTAACGAATTCTAAAGGCATGTGTTATTCCTCTGGTTTACATAAAGATTAAACATGTATTTGTGTAAGTACTAGGTATAGATACAGAGTCCTTTATCCTAAACACTAGAGACCATAATTGTTCAGATAATTTCTTTTTATTTTGGAATGTTTACATAGACATATCTAACTTGGAGATACAAAATGAGTCAAAATCCAAAATTTCTGATTGCCACATTGGCTCTCAGTTTCAGTTTTGAGGTATTTTGGATTTCAGGTACCTACACAAGAAACTTACTTTTTGGGACTCAAAATATTCAAAGTACTTAACTGAAAAAAAAAATTGTTTTTGTTTTCTAAACTAGTAAATAATTGTCTAGGAAAGCACAGATGCAAATATGCATAGCTATACTATGGATATAGAATATATCATGCAGGCTCTTCTGTTATATCAGCTACAGTTGCTGTTTGGGGAGGTTTTGAAAACTTTTGGAGGTTGGGTATCAATGGAAGAGGTGGGTGCATAAATTTCAAGGTTATACCTAGTGCCCAGCTCTTTCCTCACTTTCTGTTCCCTATCTGCCAAGTCCTCTACAATGTGTCCCAGCTCATAGTATGAACTACCCACGTGACCATGGGTTGAATAAATTGGTACAGGAGACAGCTTCCTGAACATAACACCAGTAGCACAGACACTGAGATTGGCAATTAATAAATAGGACCTCTTCAAACTGAGAAGCTTCTGTAAAGCAAAGGACATAGTTGACAAGACCAAACAACAGCCCACAGACTGGGAAAAGATATTCACCACCCCACATCTGAAAGAGGGATGATTTCTAAAATATACAAAGAACTAAAGAAATTAGTCACCAAAACACTAAATAACCCTATGAAAAAGTGGGATACAGAACTGAATAGAGAATTCTCAATAGAGGAAATCAAAAAGGCTGAAAGACACTTAAGAAAGTGCTCAACATCCTTAGCTATCAAGGAAATGCAAATCAAAACAATTCTGAGATACCATCTTACTCCTGCCAGAATGGCTAAAATTAGAAACACCAATGACAATTTATGCTGGAGAGAATGTGGAGAAAGGGGAACACTCCTACATTGCTGGTGGGAGTGCAAACTTGTACAGCCATTTTGGAGATCAGTATGGCGGTTCCTCAGGAAAATGCATTATCAGTCTACCATAGGACCCAGCAATCCCTCTCTTGGGCATATACCTAAATGATCCACATCCATGCAACAATGACATCTGTTCAACTATGTTTATAGCAGCACTATTTGTAATAGCAAGAACCTGGTAGCAACTTAGATGCCCTGCAACTGAAGAAGGGATAAAAAAAAGATGTGGCATATTTACACAATGGAATACTACTCACAGAAAAGACATTGGAATCTTGAAATTTGTAGGCAAATGGATGAAACTTGAAGAAACATCCTGAATGAGGTAACCCAGTCACAAAAAAAGAAACATGGTATGTACTCACTCATACATGGATTTTAGACCTAGAACAAAGGATCACCAGTCTATAATTCACACCGCCAGAGAAACTAGGATACAAGGAGGAACCTAAGAGATTCATACAAGGTCCCTCACAGAAGAGGACAGGAACAAGATCTCCTGAACATATTGGGAGTGGGTATATGGGGCAGTGAGTGGAGAGGGAGTTAGGAGAAAGAGAAGGGGAGGAGAACATTTTGAACTAGGAAGATTGAGTGGGGGGATGAATAGACGAGAGAAAAAAAAAATAAGAGGGAGGAGCCATTATAGGTTTGAAGAGAAAACTGGCTCTAGAGAGATGTTCAGAGACCTACAAAGATGACCCCAACTAACAATGTGAGTAACAGTGGAAAGGTTACCTTATACGCCTTTCCCTGATAACTAACTTTTATGCCATCCTAGAGTCCTCATCTAATAGCTGATGGAAACAGAAGCAGACACCCACAGCTAAACACCGAGCTGAACTCCTGGAATCCAGCTGCAGAGAGGGGAGGAATGGTAAGAAAAAGGGTCATGACAAGGCTTCAGAAACCCACAGAGACAGCTGACCTAAACAAGGGGAGCTCATAGACCCCCACACTGATAGCTGGGAAAGCAGCATTGTACCCTCTCAGACCCCCTGAACATGGGTCTCAGTTAGAAGGCCTGGGCAGTCTAAGGGACCTCTGACAGTGGAACCAGGATGCACAAAAGGACTTTGGAAGCACATTCCCCTTGGAGGGATACTCCCTTAGCTAGAGGCAGGAGGGCGGGCCTAGACCTACTCCAAATGACTTGACAGATTTTGATGATTCTTCCTGGAAGGCATCAGCCTCCCTGTGGAGTGGGGGCAGGGGGTATGGGAGGGAAGGAGAAGGAACTGGGATGGATGTGTAAAATAAGACAAAATAATAAATATATATTAAAAAAGAAAGAAAGAAAAAAAAACAAACAAAGCAAAACAAAATAAAGCCATTCTCAGGTATCTGGTCACAGCAATTTGAATTCTGAATAACACACAAAGGCATAATCTCCAATGCACTATCCAACAGAACACTGATCAAATCACTGCAAATTTAGTTTGTAGATTCTCAAATGTTTAAATGAGGTAAATTTCTGATGTAGGTACATTTAAAATGTTTACAGAAAACTAAGGAACCGAGAAAACTTGCAGATCAAATGTAATATGCTAGCACTCATGTGAAACTTAACAAATAGCTAGGCTTACCCAATAAAAACACATTCGTGCAACAAACCCAGAGAGCTCAAGGGAAGACAGAATGTGCAAGTGAGAGAGCATATGAAGATGACCAGATTGGTAACATCAGTTATCTCAAAGACAGGGCATTTTGTTTCTTATTCCACATTGCCAGAAAGTGTTATTTTAAACCAAGATTTTATGCTAGCTTTGTAATGAAAATTTCTTATAACAATTTGTAGAAAAATCAGATAACATGTCAACAGCAAAATAGTAAGTTGTATAGTGTTAGTTGAGCTAAAGGTCAGGTTATTATCTATTATAGAATATAAGGTTATTTATTATAAACATTAGTCTTTAAATGAAGATAAAATTTAAATAAAATGAGAAATAAATGCAACTACTAGTTATTCAGAATATCAGTAAGTACATGCAAGTAGATTCTGGAAGATTCTTGTTAATTAAAATTACTTAGAAGGTAGCTTCTTTGTTAGTGGTCATCAAATAACTAAATCTAGTAAAAAGAAATCAACTGTTCTGTAGATTGGAATATAAACAATCTCCTTAGAAATAATGCTACCACTTGCTGAATAAAATAAAGAGTTGTACTTACAACAAGGAATAGACTGAATTGGTCCAAGCTGTGGGAAGGTCATAAGAAGAGAAATCCCTGGAAGATCATTTTTGTTTGAAGGTTTGGTAGTTTGGTCAGCCCAAGCCACCACCTTCTTCCTTTCTACCAAATGCTCAATATCTTTGAAGTCAGAATCAAAAACTGCATTTGACGGATTAGTTTCTTCTGACATGCAATACTTTTTTCTTAGGGCTGGAAGTAAAGCATTCAAAACCCTAAGAACAGAAGATGATAAGAAAGGAGAAAGAAACACAAAGTTTTAAACACTATTGTAGTTCTTTTGTATACCAGCAATGTATTACAATATCACTAAAATGATTTTCTATTATAAGGTTACTTGGCAAATTCTCTTGGGAAGCCTGCAGCCAGTCTAGGTAAGGTTAAAATGTCCTTTCCTAAAGAGTATTTCTTTGCCTCTCCCCTTTAGTACCCATGGAAACATCAATATTAAAATCTTTTCATAATTCAAATCTGTTTTGTAAAAAAAAAATACATAATTTCATCCAAACAGCTTACCATATACTTAATATATTTGGTATAAAGAGAATCCTGGATGGGAATCAGGGAAACCAGGCTCAATTAGTAGTCCTATTTGTGTCTATGTTCTCAATATATAGTTCTCAAACTCTCTCTGCCACTTTTTTGATCATGGCTCACCTATACCTTCTTGACAGGCCAAGCAGTTAGACTTAACAATAGTTGTGTCATATCAAACTTACAGATGTTTTAGTATAGGGAATACACAATACAGTATAATAACTACACAGAAAGGCAGATAAAGTGACCAATTTTTAGCAGTGAGGGTTGGGAAGGGACTGAGGATCTGTGAGGAGAGAAACCCTGTACTTTTGAAAACTGTATTGTCGTGTGGAATAGGATTACTAGGTCTGAAAGTGCTATGAAAACTTCACTTTTGATGTTAGGAATATTTCCATAATTTCCAGATTGGAAATGACAAGTGTTTCACTATATTTAAAGTGTGTGTATTTAAGCAACAGACACTATTGGGACTGCCTACTTTTCTTTGGAAAGTGCAATTTTTATCTGCCAGATAGAGGTGTGTAGGAAATCAGCCCAATAAAACCACGAGGCACTGACAGGACCCAATTTCCATTGTGAAGCCACAGCTTTTTGCTGAAATGAAGCATATCCCACTGCACAAGACTCTCTTCCTTTCTGAAGTCGGGCTCTCACTATTGTCACATAGACCAGGAGGACCTCACATGTACAGCACTCTTGCTTCTGTCTCTGTCGTGCTAGAGTTAAAGGCAAATGCCACCATGTCTGGCACTTAAGATTCTTGAGAGTTTATTTGTCCAGTTTCTTCCAAACTGTCCAATAACCCTTTCCATTTTGTATTGTTCTGCTAAACTAACAGTATTGAGTACAACTATATATGAATCTCATGAACATTAGTAAATCATTAAACCCAGGAATGGTTTTAAGAACTCAGATATCATGTTATGTTTGCATAATTTATTGTTATGAATGAGAACAAGAGAATGCTAAGGCTTAGCAATGCTATATAGTTTCTACAAGGATATATTGCTAAAGAAAGCAGAATTCAAGATTGAGTCCAAAAACTTACTCATGCTCTACAATTCCACACTGCTTTTAAGATGCTTTGGTTCACTAGTTCTTGAAAATTAGTTAGAATCCATTTTAACTCAATATTAAGGTAAAAGCTTCTTTGAGGCATATCAATCTGCGTCTGATATAATAACACATTGAGGTTAAAATCAACTACTGTGTGTCTGAAAGCCTAAACTCCTACATGTTACTTGATAGAAAGTGATGTTTGCTTTGCTACGTGTAGCTGCAGATCCACAATGAGAGAGGGAATCAGTGTGAGCTCCCATTTATAAAACTATTCTGTTTTCTTCATCTTAAAATAGCTTACTTTAAATCAAAAGCATAGAAAATTAATCATGAGTAATTTGAGAATATCCATGGAATGCAAATGGGATTTTTGAATGGCAACTCCATAGAGAAACGAACCCCTCATTTTTACATAACCTCAAAGTAATGCCTACCTAACAAACTGTAAAAAGAGATTACACTTTTAAAGAAAATCATACACTTAAAAAATTTGACAATAAAAAATGCTATTAGTGAGCTGTACAATGAATATAAGAACACATAAAAATGGAAACACTTTGGCTGTTTTCACAGGACTAAATCTCCTAGTCCACAAACAAGGGAGATCTTTTTATTTTCTTCAGTTTTTAATAATTTTTCTTTGTAGAGGTCTTTTGTTTTCACGGTTATTTATTTCTTGTTTAATGCTACTGTGGATGTTACTGATTCCCCGCTTTCTGGTTCAGCATATCTACCACTGGAGTGAAAGGAAGGCTGCTGTATTAGTATGTTCATTTTGCATCTCACTATTTGCAAAGTGTTGGACATTTTAAGAGATTTTAGTGAAGTCATTAAGCTCTTTTAATTATAGAACTGTATCATCTTCAAATAGGGAAACTTTGACTTTTCTTTCCTTTATCTCCCCCTCTCTCCTGTTTTAATGCCCCAGCTCAGGCTTCAAGCACTGCAGTTAGCAGAAGTGGAAGTGACGGGCACCCTTGTGTTATTTCTAATGTTGGCGAGAATGCTTTGAGCTTTTCTGTATTTAGCACCATGCTGGCTACAGGTCTGTCAAATACAGCCTTTATTACACTGAGGTATGCTCTGTGCATCTTTAGTCTCTCCTGCCTTATGCCATGAAGGGATATAGGATTTTGTCAAAGGCCTTTTCTGTGTCTCTGGAGATACATGTGATTTCTGTCCATTTTTGTGATGTACTACATTTATTGATTCATATATGCAGAAACCCCGAATCTCTGAAATGAAGCTAATTGATCACGATGACTTATCTTTCTGATGTGAGTTTAAATTCAGTATGTCAGTAGTATACCAAGAAGTTTTGCATCTGTGTTCATCATAATAGTTTCCAACATGTGCATGCTTAGCTGGGTTTTGGTAGCTAATGCTAGCTTCATACAGTTAGAAGCTTTCCTTTTTCCATTTATAGAACTATTTGCATTGCACTGGTGTTAGTTCTTTGAAGGTCTGATACGATCTGCAGTAAATCCATTTGGTCCTGTGACAGACTTTTTATTGCTGATTCACTGTTGTTGCTGTTTGAATTATTTATTTCAGTTTTGGTTCATTTTGGTAGCTCATATGCATGCAGAAATTCCTCTACTTCTTTTAGAATTTTTTTTTTTTAAATTTAGTGGAATGTAAATGTTGAAGGATGCTATTAAGGTTGTAGAGGGAGAAGGTATCAGTGGTTTTTTCCAGCAGTTAACCACATGAATCCAAAAAAAAAAAAAAAAAAAAAAAAGCAAAACCCCACAAACTTTCTGTGTAAGATGTGCCACAACCTTAAGTGTGTGTGTGTGTGTGTGTGTGTGTATATTTGGGGGGGGAGTGCAAAGGCAGGGAACTGCAGTTGGTATGTAAAATAAATAAAGAAATATTATTTAAATAAATAAAAAAAAAAAAGTAACTATTTGACTAGATTTGAAGCTGAAGTCATGCTTGGGATTAAAGCCTGATTATCACCTACGCCAGGGGAAGTCATAGACTAAGTGGGTAACTCACTACTGTTGAACTAAATTCATTGCATTTAAGCGTCTTATAAATTTCTATATTTATACCCAGTCTCTGTAGTGAACAACAATGATTCTGGAGACTCACAGCTGCCAAAGATGCCGAGAAAAAGTGATGGCTAAAGGTTCAGCACTAAACAAGGCATTTACACTACCATTTCTGAAACTCAAAGGACATTATGAAAGAAGAGCCTGGCAGTATCTCAGAGCGGGAAGATAGTGTGAAGTGCAGCAAATGTGATCCTCTACACTCGATACAGCCATTGTGTTCATGAGTTTTTAACAACTGCTGTTATCAACATTAGGCTCACACAAGTTTGGCTCTATCAACAATCAACTGAGAAGGGAGAGGGTCTCAAGGTCCTCTACCAGTTACTGATAAATTACTGGTGAAAGAATTTGGGAAAGGGGTAACCACTGTCTTCAGTTGTGTCTCCACTGCTGAGCACAGGAGACTTTAATGGATAGCTCCAAACTGATGATTTTATAGATAGGTCTGGTTAAACTTGCCTGGTAACCAAACCAAACCAAAAAGAAAAACAAACAAACAAACAAACAAAACCTCACAAACAGACAAAGGTGATCTATAGGGAAGAAGTGGGAGGACATCACTGAGATGGGAGAGGGTGGGAATGGTCAGCATGCATTATGTACAAGTGGAAAATTGTCAATTACTTAATTCATAAAGATTATACAATAATCAAGGCACCTGATGCTCATTAAGAGCTAATAACAGTAATGAGATCTGAGTACATGGAATTTTCTGTCGGTTACGTATCTTCTGGTCCAATCTTAGAGGTTGGCAAGGTACAGGTGAGGCTCATTAGACTGGACTGTGGCACTGGGTTTTAGACCCAGATTTATCTGACTGGGTTTAATTTTTTTTTTTTTTAGCACAAAACCAAAATCTTAAAAAAAAAATTCATTTACAAACTACAAGGAACTATAAAAAAATTAGCTATTAGGAAAGAACCATGTCCTTCACATCTCAATGTTTTCTTCCTGTGTGGTTACTGATGCTGACAAACAATTCAAATCAATGAATCCCTTAGCAGATACAGTTCAATTCCTGCAGCAGTAAACTCGGCAGGCTGCCCAACACCGTGTACTTACGCCTCAGTCTGACTGAGCTGCTGCTCTTGGAGACAAGCCAGAGCCTTCATGTGTGCCATTTGTGCTTTCAGGTCTTTGGTCTGGAGGTGTAACTGGTGACAATGAAGATCTTTACTGAGCACCTAGGGACAGGAGCGAACTGCATTTCAGATTTTTAAAAGAATTAGGCTAATTTTCATGTAACATATTTCATGTGGAACCAAATTTTTTCTTTTTAATATATTAAAAAAATGTGGAGAAATATAGACAGTAAGAAAACTTATTGTCGAAATCAGTTGAGTTGTGTCAAGCTGAACATGAAACTAGGTAAGTTCTAGGCATACGTAGTCTAGCACTTACCAGCAAGGCCAGAATTTAAATATTTTTATAAAATGAATATTAGGGACCTGGAAAAAGGTATGTTATGATGACAGCTTCTCTGTTGATCCAATTTGCTTACAGTATTGTGAAAGTAGTCATACCACAAGTTTTTACTTAAATGTTATTACCAAAAGAGGCATTCCTTGAGTACTACATCTAAAGATGGACAACCCCTATCTTCCAACACTTTAATAGCACTGACCAATAAGAATGCTATTTATTCACTCTGTAGTTCCATTTCTACCTGAAGGTAAAGGTCATCCAAGGATGAACTATGATCACGTTAGTTCAGTGTACTGGCCTGTGTTGAATTACATGTTACATGCAGTACACTTCTCTCTCCCCCTCGCTTCCTTCCCCACCCCCCACCTCTCTCTCTCTCTCTCACACACACCTCTTATATTCTTCTTACAATTTTCACCTTTGGGGGAAAAAAAATGTCTTGAATATTCCCATTTTCTCTATGCTCTTCTGTCTAGGGCCAGGCACCCTCTAATTTACCACTTATAACTTATTAATTTTTCCTGAAATTCACTAAATCCTAAATACAAAAAATATCAGCTCAGAAAGGATTGAGACGTATGGAAACAAAAATACATAGCAATTTTAGCATCTTTAATTGTGTAATGAAAAAGTGTATTTTTGGGGACATTTGGATTGGTAAGCTAACAATCAAATAGAGCAATGGATGCCTAGAGGTTTCTTTTAGCAAAAAAAATTGATATCCCACTTTGATTTTTTTTCATATTCCTTTCTAGTCTATAGTTGGACATAGATTGTCTAAAGTACAGATTAGATTTTTTTTTTGGGGGGGGAAGGTGGGGTAATTATTATGATTATCAATTCATCATGTTCAAGACCAAAGCAGGAGATATTAATTATTAATATTTTAGTAATGACAAAGGAATGCAGGCTCCTTATCAGGTTTGTTAAAAATAAAATACTTCCTATACCAATCAATACTTAAGTAGGGACTTAGACAAAGAAATGTTCCTTTGAGATTCAATTCAAGAAAATGTACTACAGGCTTGCACACAGGTGAATCTTCTGGGGGCATTTTCTCAATTGAGGTTTTCTCTTAAAAAAAAAAAAAAAGACTTTAGTTTGCATCAAGCTGACATAAAACTAGCCAGCACAATTCATTTACATAATTCACCTTTACACTTCAAGAACGTTATCATGTGTTTTGGATAAAGCACTTTTTATGGAACCAGGATTATGTCTAGAGGATTGGCCTATGAGTCATCTGATTTTTAAGGATATGCTCAGTCTTGAAACAAATGTCAGCTCAAGCCAAATACATGGCCTTTATGGAGATCAGTTTACTTGACTAAAGTGTGAGAGCTGAACTGATTCATCTTACATGATCTCCTTATAGTTTTTCAGTTAGAAAATAAAGTGTGCAAACATATTTTCCAAATAGTTCCAATTATTTTCCTAAGAAAACAATAAAAACCAGGTTGTCCTTACCTCTTATACTCTATAACCACTCTTCCTACCCAATCAATCACACATCCTAGGTCTATTGTAAGATTGAAATTTTAGTGTGTTCTTGTCTCAGTCCACCAATGATCACATCAGAAGGGAAGACCACAAGTACAAGAACTGCATGTCAGCTAACAACTGAAGTAGAGTATGATGGGAGGTAACAGCTTGCTTTAGAAACACGAGGTGCCAGATTGTGCCAGGTTTGGTCAGACAGCATAGTTTATAATAAGGACAGGACACTGAAGAGTGATACTGTCAGTGCCAGCTCTCAAAGTTTTAGTTTGGTTGTAGTAGAGAAAACCAGAATGGCCATCTGTTGCAGTATGATAACGGTGGTGGTGGTAGGGTGGGGTGTGGTAGTCTGAACTATGAGTGTGATACTGCTGGATAAAGACATGACATTAAAAAATAGATAATGAAGGAGGGTGTAGTGAACATAGCAATCATTTCAAATTCATAAAAAAGTAGTATTGGTCATGAGTTGCAGGACCTTGGGTAAGTCTCTCTGTGAACTAAGTGCTTATGACTAGATTAACTGCTTCAGCTGTGAAACATCTTATGAAAACAGAACTGAGAAGTTAGGTGGTAGAAAGAAAAAGTGCCCCGTTTCTTTCTTGTGTTATCTATAATGAAATATATAAAGGACTAAATACTTAAGAGTCTGGTGTATAAAATCCTGCGACAAGTGTTTTAGGATAAGCAGAGTGTGGAAGATAGCTTTAATACTGGACATGGGGAGACAAAGGCAGGTGGATCTCTATGAATTTCAGGCCAGCCTGGTTCTAATCCTGAGTTCCAAGCTAGTCAAGGATACATAGATTTCTCAACAAACAAAAATTCTAGATTATTTGAAAAACTGTATGTGACCATTAAAAAAAACTAAATTAATAACTCAAATGATACTAACTTTATAAGCATTACAAAGTTGAAAAAGGCAAGCAATATGTTAAAAAAACTACAAATACTTGAGCTAACTTTTAAATTAATATATCAAGTTTAAAACTTAAATTACTCATTTCCTAGCTTCTTAACTGGTGGGTGCACTTCTATATGGGGCCATGCACCTGAATATGGGCACTTAGATTAACAGAGCCACAGTAAAATGTTCTGAACACACAATGATCAATAATTAATTCAATATCAAATGTGTAAATAGGAAGATGTATTTCTGGATGTATACCCTCACAGTGAATCACAATTTCACTGTAAAATCAGTCCTTAATACACAGTATTCTGCATGGGGTAATGCCAATGAGAGCTGCGAAACACCCTGGCTCTCACTCAAGACTATGCAGATTAAGAATCCTAGTGTTTTTACTGTTCATACAAAGGCTTCTATTCTATAGAAACACAATGGCTTATTTAGGGAAAATAAAGAATTTCTTATTGTTGTTCCTCAGTAAATATCAAATTTTTGTATCGTTTGTATCATTTGTACTACACATGTTTGACTTAACAAACCGCTATTTGAGATGTTGTTTAAGTTTCATAAAACACCAATAAATACCTTTTGCCTTGCTGTGATCATGAAATAATTTCCAACCATTCCTAAAATGGCCCTAAGCAAACCTCTGCCATTTTGTACTATGAATTATAAAAAGGTGACATTCTTGCTATACCAGATCATTAAAAAAAACCCGATGAATTCTGAAGTTTTTAAGAAGACCACTTACTTCATTAGTATTCAAATTTGCTTTTGCCTTTGATAAATGGTAAATACATGTATTCTCAATCTCCAAAGAACTGCTGCTTTAAAGTAAATTCCTTTATTATTTATAAAGATATGTACCCTTTTGATCTGTATATCTATTACATACTTATATATTCAGGATCACAGAAGATTGCTAAGGTAGAAAGAGGTTGTGGGTGGAAAAGTTAAAGAAGCCTAGCTGGATGAGGAAGCCTCAACTAGTTGAAACAGAATCACTTAATTATAACTTAAGAGTTACCTCATGAAAGACAGTTGCATTAAAAACATTTAAAAATAAACTGACCCTTCTGAAAGCAGAATCCACAAACCAATTAGGTAATTAGTAAGCTGATGATACAGTCATTAATAATAGTAAAGTGAACTAATTAAATCTGAGATAAATAGGGCAACAATTGCCATATGAAAGATATTTACTCCACAGAAATATAAGAAATTTAAGGAGTTCAGCTTTTAAGATTAAAATTGAACACATATACATATTTGTACCTCTGGGATGTCACCATTTTGACCTAAGAGTCTCATTTCGCTTTCCACTCGATGAAGCCAATTAGTATTCTCATCAAATTGTTTTAACACCTCTTCCTTCTTTTTCTCTACGAAACAGCGAACAGTTTTCAACCTTTGAAGTCGGTGATTTCGTTTGCAAGTGGCCTGAAATATAATACTGAATTTAATAATATTGCTAAATTTTATATTTGCTGTGTACAACATTAAAAGTCATGCATTTTCTTATTTTGGTATAGTATGTTAAGCCATACTACTATTGTCCTATTAAAATATAACAGAAAATAGAAAATCAGTTGTGAGTTATTTAATAAAATTACATCTTGGGATTTTTATGGGTTTAAGGAACACAGTGGTCAAATGGAAAACTGAAATTTTTTTACATGATACATTTGTAAAGTTCATATAAGGTTAGATAAATTCCATGCTTTCCCAACTCAAAAAAGCATGAACACTCTGTACTTGTTTTCAATCTGGAAGACATGAAGAAAGAAACAAAGTTCTACTGATTTAATTTGTTGCTCTAAATGACAGAAAAAAGTATGAGAACTTGCCTATAGTCAAGGCTGAGAACACTCTTAGAATACTCTTAATGTCTTTGGTATTCATGAGTATTTTCAGTCAGATTTGGCCTTCTGTTGGCCAACGACTCTGTCCTTCATAGGTAATAAATCATTACTTTTGGTGTTTCTAAAAATTAATTAATATTTACAGGTATGTAACATAAACAACTAAGAGCATTTTCACTTTGGTGGAGGATATTAGTTTGTAAATATTTAGTGTTAAGTCAGTGTGGTTGCCATTAAGCCACAGATTCTTGATATTTATACATTTAACTTCCTTCATAGGAAAACAAGATGTTCAAGGAAAAAAAGAAGACTAGAATCAAATGATCAGGGACAGTGGCTAACAAGCAGTCATTCTCATGAGGATTCTTAGGTCTTTATTGTCATTTGTCTGGTTATATCCTAAATAATTTTTTCTCATGGCAAGACCTTAGCAAAACAAAACAGCAGTTTAAACAAACAAAATACCTGTCTTTTCCCTAAAGAGGAAGGATGGAATACAAAATGCTAACGTGACAAATGCCACACTTGCAAAGGTTCTCTAACTTTGGGGCAAACTTAAAGGCACCCGTAGTTTTCATATGGAAATGCCTGGGATCTTTTCAGGCGATTTATTTGGTCAAAATAAATTTTAATTCTTTACAAAATTTCTAAGAGACTCATTTATTTGAACATTTTGCTTGGACAAAAGAACATACACTATGTGTATTCCTGGTGCTGACAGAGGTCAGAAAAGGCCACAAGATCACCATGAACTGGAGTTACAGATGGCTATGAACCATCACATGGGTGTTAGAAACTGAATGCAGGTCCTCTGCAAGAGTGACAAGTGCTCTTAACCACTGAGTCATCTCTCCAGACAGCCTCTTTAATCCTAATGGTATATCAGGGTAAGAGTGTTCCAGGAGCTAACAGAGGTGTAAGGTCACTACAGAACATCACAGAAAAAGATAAGAGAATGCAACTGTTGTGAAGACAGCATACAGTTGGAAGGATGTAAAACAAAGCTATGGCTCTCCTAAGCTGTTTTTTGTTTTAGAAAATAATTAGTTATCTTCATAAAACTATAAGAAAACAAGAATTTCTGTAAATCGCATTAGTAATTTCTAATACAGTATCAGTGGACAGTCTCTATAAATAAAGATCTATGAAGTTCAAGATAGTTTTAATGGCAGAAAAGGGTCCTAACTTTGATGCTTAGAGAGTGCTACAGCAGGAAGTGGGAGATGAGACATTTTGACTTTCTTCTGCTATTCAGAAAGTGTGAAAACTCAAGCAAGTCAACCTCAGAGGGTCGTCAATCACTTTATTTCTGAAAAATGAAGATAAAGGGGCTATCCCTATTGAAGATAGTGGTTAAATTACATTTACTTTGCCTTAACATTCACAACTGTTCAGAAAGGTTCTAGCTGAAACTCAAAAAGGATAATTTTGACTTTTAATGCTCATTAAATATATTCCGTACAGTGATGGGTATTCAGGACAAAGTGGCACATTTCCTCACTGAGATTGAAAACATGACTCTAAAATTTGAGGTGTCAATATTGCTTTATGCAAATACAAAAGCAAATAAACAAACAAGCAAAAAACTCACCACTAATATGCTATGACACTCTTGTCAATTTGACAGAATTTAGAATTGCCTAAGACAGCAGTTCTCAACCTTCTTCATGCTGTGAGCCTTTAACACAGTTCCTCATGTTGTGGTGAGCCCCAAATCATAAAATTATTTTTTGTTGCAACTTCATAATTGAAATTTCATTACTATTATGGATCATAATGTAAATATCTGTGTTTTCCAGGAATCTTAAGCAACCCCCGGGAAAAGGATGTCCAACTCCCAAAGGGTTTGAGACCCACAGACCTAAAATAAAAGCTTTTGGGAAAGTTCTCAGAATGTTTCTAGATAGGTTTAACTGAGGAAGTAAGATTCATCTTAAAAGAGGAAGCATCAACTCAAGTACTGGTGTCCTGGTCTGAAAAAAAAGGAGATAACATTTTGTTCACACATTATCTATGTTATATTTGGTTTAAATTTCTTAGTTTTCTTTTCCAGTTTTGAAATACCAATTTCGATTTCTGCAGTATCAAACATGCAAAAAAAAAAAAAAAAACCTAAGAACTAAAGCACAAGTTCTAGCATTAGTGTACTAGAGCTTAAATCATAGCTCAGCTACCTATGGTTGTGTACTACCTCTGACAAAATGGCTTACCCATGTCCTTGCTTAGAAAGGAGAATAATAAATACCTCATGGGAGTTTCTGACAATGAGGTGAACTGCCTGAACATTGCCTGATAGTGAATAAATCCTTTAAAATCTGAAAATTTCATTTGCTTTTCTCATGTTGTGACCCTCACATTCAGCTATTCCTTACTGATAATGTTTTTATCTTTGATTTTTTTTTTTTTTTGTCTTCAGTTTTACAGTTCCCAGTAGATTAGTCCAGTGTCTATAATTCCTGGGATTTCTTTCTGTCTGAAATGGTAAGTCTGCTGATTCCTATCTATGGCGACTGTAAGAGATAGAGTTGAAGGTTTATTTCCCAGAGTAGTTTTGCATTGCTTTTGCTAGGTTTCCCAGTGGTAGCATTAGTTTGATGCCACTTTGTCAACTTTAGATATTTCCTAAATAAAACACTGTTTGTTAAAGCCTAGACCATAACCATTTTGGAATGCACACTGTTAATACTGGAAGTTGGTCAGCACTTTATTAGGATCATACAGCAATGGATAGCAAGAACAGCGATCAAGTATTCTTTCTGAATAATAACAAAATATCTCCATGTGGCCGAAGTTGTAAAGTGTTACCCGCATCTTGAGTAGGCTGCCTCTCCTGTCCCTAATGTTCTACAGGCTCTCAAAAGAGAAACAAGTTTTTTTTTTTTTTTTTTTTTTTTTTTTTTTGGAGTCAAAGCATTTTTTTTTTTAATTTATTATTTTACATGTCGATCCCAGTTCCCTCTCCCCTCCCTCCCTCTCCCTCCCTCCCTCCCTCTCTCCCTCCCTCCCTCCCTCCCATCCTCTCTCCATCCTTCCCTCCCTTTTACCCTCTCTGCCCTCTCACATGCACTCTAAACACCCTCCCCTCCCATCCGCCAACCCCAATTCCATATGTAGGGGAATGCCATTCAGGTGGGGTCATGTAGATCTGACAGGTCATGTGAAGTAGGGACTAGGGCTTCTCTCCTGTTTCTAGATTAAGGCAGTTATCCCTCCATGGGGGATGTGTTCGCAAAGTCCTTTTGTGCACCAGGGATACAACCTGGCTCCACTGTCTGAGGTCTCTTAGACTGCTCAGTCCTTCTGGCTGAGACCCATATTCAGGGGGGCCTGAGTCAGTCCCATGCTAGCTTCCCAGCTATCAGTCTAGTGGCCGTTAGCTCCTCCTTGTTTAGGTAAACTGTCTCTATGTGTTTCTGCCGCACGGTCTTGTCCTCTCCATCTGCTTCTGGGTTCTAGTTCAACTCAGTGTTTACGTATGGGTGTTTGATCCTGTTTTCAACAGGCATTATTTGAGGGCTCCATGGATAAGTTAGTTGTTGATCTCACTCTCCGGGAAGGGCATTTATGACAGCCTTTCCACGGAAGCTCAAATTGTTAGTTGGGAGCAGTCTTGTAGTTCTCTAGACCTTTCTTTGTGTTCAATTTTATCTTCAAACCAATATTGGCTCCCTCTTTTATGTTCTCTCTCTCTCTGTCTCTCTCTTTCCTATCTTCTATTCCTAACCAGACTCAATCTTCCTGGTCGCACATGTTTTCCTTTCCTCCCCCTCATTTTCTCCTACTTCTCTCTCCATTCGCTGCCCCCCCCCCCCCCCCCACTTAACCTGAGCTCTGGAGGACTTGTCCCTTCCCAGTTCTGTGAGGGACTTTATATGAATCTCTTAGAATATACCTTGTACCCTAGTTCCTCTGGTGATGTGAATTATAGGCTGGTGATCCTTTGCTCTAGGTCTAAAATCCATATATGAGTGAGTACATAGTGTGTTCAAGAGGAACAAGTTTAACTAAGCATTTGCTTTTCAAAGTTTCCTCTGGCTCACATACTATTTCCATGTTTTTTTAGAGAATGGGTAAGAAACAATGTTTATTAAATTTCTAGAATTAGATTTCCATGTTCTCTGTAATTTAGGCATAAAGTAGTTAAATACCTTTTCTACTTTGTCTTCTGAACACATCATCTCTATTTGGTGATGGCACTGCTGTTGATAGAGTGACTTGAGTTCATTTTCTTTAAGCAACATTTCTAATTTCAGATATTCTTGCCTGATTCCTTCTCGATTCTGGAACAAGCATTTCAGAATTTCTTGAAATCTACCAAAAATAAAACATATCATTTTATTTCATTAAATTTGTACTATCTAGTATATAGCTTACTGAAATGACACATATCACTCAGATTGTACTTGATGATAAACAGCAGGTCAGAACTACATTCCTCCTACCATAAAAGTGCTGAGAAGGCAGTATCAACTTTATTTTTTTACTGTAGGTTTCTTTCTGCTGCAAAACAAACCATGTTGTTTATATATTTTGGTGTCACAAGGTCTCTGATATTAGTAATATGTTGTATTTTATCATATGTAGTCATACTGCGCAGCAAAAATGCAAAGGATGATAACCTAGATCTGTAATATGACAATTCTCATAGCCCTATTAGCAGCAGAGCATCACGTGCTGTTTGGTGTTGGCTTACAGTGAAGAAAAAGCAATAGGAGGCATTATCATATGGTATCTCCATGGCCCCCTAGGGAAAATGAGAGAACCAGTTTTAGCCTCAAAGATTATTATAGTGAAAATACACCATAAGGTTAGGTACCCCCTACAGCTTGGCAAAAAGTCAGCTGACACTGGCAGGACCCAAAACATCCAAGTTAACAATGTGGCAAACCTAGAAACGTGGTTGTGGTTTACTTTTCTAAAGGGCAAAATAAAGAATTCAATTTGTGGAGTTTATTAGGCCCCCAAGGAGCCAATGATTCAAAACCGAATAAATTTTATGAAAAACTGAGAAAATGCATAGTTTGGCAACTTCTAGGACAAACAGAACACGGGTCACAACAATATTTTAGTCTTACAGATAATCTCACACAGGCAAAATTATTTATTATTGAAGAAAATTAAGTACAAGGCCTTTAGAATAAAATAAAGTCTGTGCATTTAAAAATAAATGTTCTTTGGGCAGTTTTGGATATATATTTGTAAGGATCTGTGGTAAAGGTACTGCCAATTTACGTCAGTAGTTCTTAATGAAACCCTCCTGGGAATGAAGATAAACCACAGTACATTGACTTTCCTGTAGTTTTGTTCAGCTGATGAATATTTCATAGGAAGCACATGCGGATATTGTTATTTCACCGTCCTGTATTACACCAAGGCTAGTGCCAGTAAATGAACTGATAAGTTATCTTTAGGTTATACCCTAAGACAATATCATAGTATTCATAACTTTTTGATATAAGGACAAAGTTGAACTATATCAAAATTTTAATTTTGTGGTCTAAACACTTTACTTAGTGTTTACTGTTTACTAAGGAAAGAAAGTAATCATTATCAAGGGTTTCTAGGTTGCATCTTAAAATTAAAAAAAAAAATAACAGAAATAAATCTTAAGGGAATGAGTAGTATTTTCTAGTCATTTAGGACATTTAAACTAACTAGAAACAAAATTTTTCATTAATATTTTTAGGTAAGACACAAGACCATATCACTTCCTTGGTATAGTAATAATAGAATTTTTACAACTATTGCTAAATAAAATGTATTTTCCTTTTAAGATTCCCTTTTGTATACTGGCGCAACAAAAATTTGAGTCAGAAAATATTGCATATTTTCCCACTGTCTTCAGAAAATGCACAAAAATGTTATTGAAGTTTTATGGAAACCAAAGTTTTAAAAGGGTAACAACTGCCTCTGCTGCAGAGGAATCTAATGCCTCTGACTTCCTGTACTCCTATGCACATAAATATACACACACAGAAATCCCTCCCACATATACAATTAAAAATCTTGAGAGACACACACACACAGAGATAAATGATTAAATTCATCAACTCCAAAAATGTTTCCTAATTTGTAAGTCTACTCTCTTTCCTTCACCAGAACTGCAGCACCCACCAGGGACTGAACCGAGGGCCTCACATGGTAGGCAAGCACTCACTGGTGAGCTGTTATCACCATGACTTTCAATTTTGAGATACAATCATCCTAAGTTTTCCAGTCTTGACTGGAAACTGCATTCCTCTGCCTCAGAATCCTAAGTAGCTGGGACTACAATTTAACTGGCAAATTACACAGGGTTAATGTTGACAAATTTATAAAAATAACCACTCCAACTTTTGAAAATTGGTAGTTTAATATCAAAGAAAACTGTATTGTATTAGCACTACTGTCATGTTTAAATAACAAAAGTAATATTCACTAGAACATTACATCAGAGTAGAAGTTTTCTTTGAAAGGAATAAATGAGGGCCAGGAGGTGGTAGCACAAGCCTTTAATCCCAATTATGGAGGCAGAGGTAGGTAGATTTCAGAGTTCAAGGCCAGCATAGTCTACAAAGCCAAGTTCTAGGTAGGATAGCCAGGATGATACACAGCTGTCTCAATAAACAAACACATAAATGAGGAACAAGGAAACACTTATAAATTTTTTAAGATAAGAAAATTTGCATGGAATTAAAATTTTATATGCCAAATAAAATACTAACAATTTAATATTCTAATGGGTCACTTGCAGAGTTAGCAATTTCAACACAAGGGAAAAACTAGTATGCTTAGTACCCTTGCACTTTAATAGCACACAGGGAAACCTAATGAGATGCAAAACTGACTTTTGTCACCAACAGAAGTAACTGTCAGAATTATATGTGATGTTTGCAAAACAGTACAAAGTGAAAATAGAGGACAAAGCCTAATACTTCTGGGCCAGTTAAGATGGGTGAGTCCTGGAAAGTTGTCTCCTGACTTATACCTACCTACTTTCCTACATACACGCACATACACAATATTTTAAGATAATTTAAATTAGGGAGTTCTTACTACACTCTGTAATTGAGAAAACGATACCTCTATTAATTCTAATTAAAAAAGAGCTATAGTAATTGGTTGAAATTAATACTCTAAGACTCAACATAATCTACAAAGCTGTCAATAAAGTTTAGGGAGAAAAAACAAAGTGGCAGCACTCAATAACATAGTATTAAAAGGACAAGTTTACAAGTTGTCTCATAGAGAAAACAGACCAAGAAATAAGGGTCTTGAGTGGTGGAAAGAAGATAGTGGATCAACTTGGACAGGAAATGTTATTCTATCATTCTACATCACTGCAGGGTTTACTCAGTTCAAAATTTGAAATTAGTAAGTGAATTAGTGGGTCTATATAGAATCAATAAAAACTGACCATATTTTCATAAAACTATTCAAGTACTAATAGCAAAAAAAAAAAAAAAAAAAAAAGCACCATTCAAAATAAACTGGCTTCACAGATGACAGAACCAGCTTTTCCTCCTGCTTTTCCCAGCGGTAAAATAACCAGCTGCTTTCTAAAGTTCAAATACAAAGAACAAACAAGTGCATTTTCAGGAATTCAAGTGAGATGTATACGTAGCTATACATACATATATGATACATAATTAAAGAAAGACTATAATTTATAACTACATTTCTCAAGCGATTTTAATAGTTTTACCTTTTAATCTCTTTGACTTGAATGTTTGAAGGTACTGATTTTGCACTGTCATTTTTGTCAGTCAAAGCTTTCTGTTCTTCATAGGCTTTTAGTTTTTCTTTCAACATTAAAATCTAGCAAAGGAAACACTAATTAAAAATACAAATCAAGTTATTTGTCTTCATTCATTTTACATAGCCACAGTAAAAGTTCAGTTATAAACAATAATCACACACCAGGTTCCCACTATAATAGGAAATGCATTAAATTTTGAACAATAAGGAAGAAAGCATCCCTTAAGGGAAGAACTGCAGGTAATAATAGATCACTGAGAACAGTAGACATACCTCTGCTTTCTGCATATTACAGATCTTTACATATTGAGATATGTGACTGTTGACATTAAGAACATTGCTCTTCAACTGCCAAAAGAGAGAAATTATGATTACAGTCACATAGTTAAGATAGCACAAAGTGGCACTGTATCTCATAAACTTGACTTTACCAATTTTGAACTTTTAACAACTATAAGTGATCATCATGATTAAATATAACTATATTTAAAATTTGTAATGAGAATATGTTGAAATTATAAACAAATTGGCTTACTTAAAAATATGTTGTGTTTATACATAATAATAAAAGTAGCCTATTTATTCAAGAAATTCAGAATTGTTTTATGCTTGCATTCATATTAGTTTCTTATTACTTTTCATATTGTCTACAACAGTATAACCCCATAAACATTTACATGGGGAGAAAATTACATAATTTTTAATATTATAGAAATTTCTAATTTGAATTAGAATCAAGTACTTAAAGTTCTTCAAGCTTTGGCCCACATAGATATAAAATGGAGCATAAAAAACAAAAACTAGAAAACTTTACAATGGGTTGGAGTAAGGACATGAAAAATGTGAGAAAATCTTTGTACACTCATATACTTCGGCCTTTTATAAAAATAGTATATGGACATTTCTCACAGGGTGTCACACTGCTCATCTTCAGACACTTATAGGAGGAAAATGAATAGTCAAGAGGATAGGCATCATAGCAAATTAACTGAGGTCTCTTCTGAACTAAGGTCCTGTAATTTTAAAGTAGGTATGTTTTCACCTGATTGTTTTTAAAGTATCCCAAAATTTAGACAAAGAACATTTCTCTAAGTAGTCACTGTTACATTCCTTGATTTAGCACAATTTATGTGAAAATTCATTCATAAAGCATGTTATAAACCAAGGTAGGTATTATTAGTCGGTGCGCAGATAAATTGCAATATCACCCATAAATGTTTCTTACAGTAAATATAAAAATAGATTTAACTATATCAAATCCTTGGCTAATTACTATGTCATGCTATCCAAGCACCATGTACCATGATGAGAAGAATAACAAGTACTCCAGGACTCATAAGAATGAACAGCAACATCCACTGTGAAGTAATTAAGATGCAAAAACTGTGTGACTAAATTAACATTCAGTAACCAGGACTTATATTGCCAAATTCATTAGCAGAAACATGACCCTAATTAAGACTTTAGTTAAATATAAAAATAGAATATACCTAATACTCTCACGACAAAGTCAAAGTAAATGCACTTACCGAAGATTTAATGTCTTTTGCACGATTAGCATACTTAAGAGTGTTATATGTGTCGTCAGAAACAAAGAGGAAGGACTAACAGCAGCTATCATTATAGTCTGACAGTTCCCTCCAAGAGAATCCTTCAACAAGCGAGTAAGCTTACTATTTCTATAAGGAATATGCTGATTCCTTCTCTGAAAGAACAAAACAAGAATTCTTATTTCTTTTCCACACTACTACTTACTACTATTTCTTTAGAAGAACTTAAGCAATGCCCAATGATATAACTGGTGTTTGACTGCTGCAAATAGATCTTGGAGTAGTCAGTGACTATTATGAAAGTCCTAATTATAGCTTCAGTGTGTAGAGAAAGGTGTCTGCCCTAAAGTCCTCAGTGTAGTCCCCTGGAACACACATATCAGAAAGGAGAACTAGCTCTGGGATGCTGTCCTCTGACTTGCACATGTACACAAACACAGTAAGAAAATAAAAATTATACAATTCCACCTGAAATTTACATCTCTAAGAACAAACTTCACAACAAAACAACTATCAAGGTTGGTTTTTGGTTGTAGGTGACATTTTAAATATATCTGAAAAGATGACAAAAAAGGTTGTGTGTGGCAATATGTGGCTATAATCCTACCTTCTTGGTAGGTAGACTGGATGGCAAAGCAAAATTATATTTCCAAAACAAAATAAAACTTCCCAAACAACTAACCCCCACAAAAACAAACAAAACAACAACAACAAAAAACAAAAATCATCTCAAATACAAAACAAACAAAAAAAAACAAAAAAAAACAAAACAAAAAAAAAAACAAAAAACTAAGCTAACAGGAAACTAGGCATGAGATACATATTTAAGATGTGCATCATCTTTTTTCTTTAAAATAAACACAAAAATAAATCATACAAGGTTGCATTCATCCTCCAAAAATCTCTTAAGTGATTATGTCCACCAATGATCTTACATCAATCATTCTAAAATTGATAGAGTATCATGTTAGCATTGTTTATTCCTTATCCCAGGGACTTCCTGCTTTTATATTTTTGCATAAATATACTCATAGTATGGTTGCTGCTAGATCATATCATAACTTTCTTTTTTAAGAATTAAATTTATTGATTTATTTTAAATACTGAGGCAGTCTTTCCTCCCTCTTCTCTCCTGTAATCCACCCCCCGACCCCCTGGTGCTCCCAATCTATTCCTCCCCTGTTTCTGTCCAGAAAAGGGCAGGCCTCCCCACGAGTATCAACAAAGCATAGCATATCAAGTTGATGTAGGATTAAGCAATGTGCATCATCTTTGAATCTAATTCTATTTGAAAAAAAGAATTCTTTATAAAACCATTTCTACTATAAAGAGACAACCACAAACCTCTACACAATACTCACAGAAATAAATAAATGTAGTTAAATATTTGAGTAAATAGTTAAATTAGAATACTTAATATTTAGTATAAAGATATATTAAAGATACAGCTCTCAATTTCACATATGAAACTTTGTAAAAGGAACAAATTTTATATAAAGATTCATCAATATTAAAAATCAATGCTATCATCACATAACTTTCATATAAGAGAAGTATAAATTATGGCAAACATCCTCTACTTTGGTGGCTTAACTTTACAAATCAATAGTATATCATTCGCAAATGTTTGAGTCTTCAACTCTGAATGTAAAACATGCTACTTTTTCAATGGTCAGGTAATTTTAGTAACTTGCTCTCTTAAGAAAGTCTTCCTAATTTTAAAATATTATTCTAAATTAAAGTAACACCTTTAACAATTTATCAGTAATTTTCCTAATGCTATTTAAGCCTGCATTAGCTTCAATTACCACACTTTAAAAACAAATTAATGTACTGTCAAACATACTATACACTAGAAAGTACTTCTGGTATACATTGCATGTAAAATAGTTTTAAATGCCTCAAAGCATTTACTAGTCATCCCATCATATAATAACACTTTAGATAGCCCTTAAACCTCTTCTTTTCCTTCTTAATCTTCTGTATTATGTCAATTTTATAGTACATTATAAAATACTAACTAGAGTTGCTCTAAAGCTTTTTGTTTCAATGTCTTCTTGTCAATTCACTAAATCATTCTTGCTGTCTAATGATCATCAAATAGATGTTTACAATGAAGTTCAAAGCTGGAAGATTGAAAAAAACAACCATTGTGGAGTCTGGTAGAAAAGGCCTGTAATTACAGCTGAGACAAGAGGCTAGAAAGTTTAAGACCAGATTAAACAACTCATTTGAGATCCTGTCTCAAAAAAACAACCGGGTATAGCTGTCCTTTCCCAATGCAGTGAAGTACTGGGTTCATTCCCACAAAGTATCACAAAGTGCATGCACACCCTCTCACAAAACAACAACCAAAAATGACACTCATGCAGCAATGTGTGACAGCTCAGAGTCACTTATGTCTATGATCTACATCTACAACATGTTCTAGGAACTATTTGTCAAAACATTAGCAAGTAAACATATATTACCTACCATCGTATTCTGCTAAAGCGTTGATGACATTTCCAAGGGCTAAAAAGAGATTTATTAATATTTGTGCCTTCTACAAATCGTGTCCCTTTAGCACCAGAAGTTCTGGCCCTCTCAGATCCTGCCAGGTCAATAAGTGACATTTTGGCTACACGGACATTTTGATTGATGCTTGCTGTTTTGTCCTGTTGTCGCAAATAAATCTTAAATTATAGCATAGGGGAAAATGAGAGTAAAATTTAATAAAATTAAAGGAAATGTTTTATTTTCAAAAAATACATATACATGAAGACAAAATCATTCTCCCTTTTAAAAACTAATACAACCACGTATTATCTGCCTGATAGTCAGTACCAGAATTACTGGTTAAGAAAAATATGAAAATGAAGACTGGTATATGAGTTTTGATATCAAAGGCTGCCCCAAAGGCCCATGTGTTAATTGCCTAATAGATCTGTCTATATGTAATATGGGCTACTTGTGGGGAAGGGTCTACCCCCCTCCTGTTTGTGTGTGTGTGTGTATGTTTGGCTATGGTGAATGGATCAACTGAGTTCAAGAGTTTGAGAACAACCTACGCATATGATATTGTCCCTTATATTTTGCAAAAGCAAAGAGGGAAGCAAGTGGTAGGTTTTTGATCAAGGGAAGAATAGGATACTGGCTCTTCTCTATTCCTATTAATTTTCACGCCCAAATTACAAGGTAAGTAACATGTCATTCAATGATGTGCTGCTTTACCATGTTGACACCAGACTGAAACATCCAGCCCTCTGAGTGAAAATGAGCTGTTCATTTATGATTTGATCATTTCAAGTATTTCAGCTGCTCAGGAAGGTTTAAGCTATTTTAAACTATTCAAAGGGACATTTTTTTTTTTTTTCCTTCCTTTTTGAGACTGGTGGTCATATGGCTACAAGTTTACCAGTCAAGGATGACCTTGAACTTCAGAATCTCTCCTCTCTAACTCTGAAACACCAGAATTATAGGTCTGAGGCACTGTGCCTAACTGGTGTTAGAGATTAGAATTTGAATTTCATGTATATTAGGGATGCACTCTACCAACTGGGCTACCTCCCTTATATAACCATCTTCCATTGCTTTGTACATTGCAACTGAAAGAAGATAGGTGCATGAGAAATAAAGAAATATCAAATACATTCCAGAGAACTCTCGTCATACACATTTCTCTGAAGATTACTAATAAAGAAAATGTCAGTAGAAGAGAAAAGATCAATAAAACTACTGACGAGACACTATCTGAATGGCTTGACTGTCTTAGATATGAACTCTTTCAGCTGTAACAATTACTTCTTGATAAGATGAATTTCACAGGTCAGTAAGAATGGAAAACATGCTTGCTGCCAAGCTTGACGGACTGAGTTGCATTCCCAGACACAACAATGGTGGAAGGAAGAGTAACAATTTTCCAAAGTACTTTGTCATCTACACACACACCATGGCATACTGATACCCACATACATACATACGACTCACAAATAAGTATAACATGTTTTCTAAAAGCCAAAAAAAAAAAAAAAAAAAAAAAGAACTTCACATAGCATCATAGCATAATCTACAATACAACTTTACATCAATAACCATTTGGATATAAACAGCACCAGAAACTACAAACAATAATGGATATCTATGGCTTTGGATCTTTGTGGACACTTTCTCCAATACAGTACTGTGTCAGCTGAATCAGTCTTAAGGATAGGTGGAAGGAAGATGAAGACAGAGAATCTTATTGTTAAACATTCCTCTGAAGACTACCGACTGACCGATAAGGTAGAAGTCAGTGAAAGAGAAACGATCAGTGGAGCTACTGAACAGAATTGATTACATGGTCAGTGTCTTCCATCTCTACTTTACCATTCCCCATGTGTTTGACGTAAGGTCATATCAATCTAAATGTTTTTGATGTTGTACTTTTATGAGCAAAGTGGGCTGGGGAGGCATCTTAGTATTGTATGGAATATACTCTTCATGCTAATGACTTGACTTTACGGGCAAGGAGTCACAGTGCCTGAAATCCCAACTACTCAGGAGTAAATGGGCTAAAAGGAACTGAAGTTAAGGCTGGCCACTGCTACTTAGTGACTTCAAAGCTAATCTGGTCAACTTAATGAGATTATGTCTTAAAGTAAAACAGCAAACAAAAGTGGCAAAACTGAAGTGCTAAGGAACAGAGAGGTTTATAGATGAGACTTTGCTGCCACATATGAAAATTATTCATGCAATTGGCTATATTCTAAATTCCAACCTAAAGGCCGGATACCTGGAAAACAGCATGTGAACGTGAAGACGTAGCATTCATGTCGGGGGGATGCTGTGTCCTGTTTTTGTTTCCATTGTCTAGTAGCTGTAATATTCTCCTCTGAGGATTTGGGCTAGGAGTTCAAAATAGAAAAGCAATATTTAGTAATGTATCGTTCAATTTTCAACCAACTTTTATTTATTTAAGTGCCGGGAACTCAAACCCAAGGCTTGATGAATGTGAGCAAAGTTTTCAACCACTGGGCTATCTTAGCCCCTCAGTAAACTTGCTCATCAAACAATAGTTTTAAAGGTAGAAGGTAAAAGTGTTCTATGAATTCACTCTTAATAAATATTGATTATGTATTATTTGTTTAGTACTTGGTGATATATAGGGTAAGAGGTAAAATATTCCCCTGAGATAAAAATATAAACATTTAACAGAATAATAAATTTTCAGTCAGATTTTTAGCAGGGAAAATAAAATCCCTCAGTGAGAGGAAGAAACAAGAATAGTCAATAAGAGGCAGTAGAATGAAGCTATTCTCAGTCTGCTCTTTATTTTGCTAGTATCTTTGTGACTTTGGAAGAATCACCCAGGCCTTTAGAACCTTTGTAATTCACCTCAGTCTAAATTTCATTAGTTTGTTTGTATTTCAAACACAATGGTTGAACTAATAGATGGTAGAAATGGAATCTGCAGATTTGCTATTCTAACAGAAAGAAAAGACATTCATAAACTTACCTGGTGTAAAGTGAGACCCTGAACAACCACTCCTTTTTGGGCATCTTCCCGGACAGCAAGTGGCCCTCAGTTTGTCAAGAGGTCACTAATCTGTTCATTATATACCTTAAAATAAAATGAGCCACAATAACAGTAGAGTCTAAATAACAAGTACATTGCTGGCTGAAGGTCTATAATCCCAGATTTTGATGACATCAGTTTACAATTGAATATTAATGCTGGAGTTATTATATTCTCACCACTAATTCCTGTTTTGACAACTCTCACAAAATGAAGACAAGCCAGCTTTCTTACCTCTGAAAAAAACACACCAAATTCAGAGTCTATATGTTAAACAAAAACCCAGTCAAAAACAGGTGTATTTACGTCAATTAATCCTTCCATTTCAGTCTAATACACAATTAGTAACAGTCTCTCGCATTTGAATTGCAGAGCAACTAAGAGCCACATGTTTATAAAATGAACAGC